ATATCAAACCAAAACACAATCGGATTTTTTTCGGTTTGACTCGGATTATCGGTTTGGTGCGGTTTATCGATTTTCTTTGTACACCCTTACTTAGACTATATCAGTTCATTTTTCCTAATTCGATATGATATTTTTCATTGTAGTATTTCGGATCAATTTTTTTAACTTGTAAATAAAATCATGTGATTCTTTTATTTTATTTTTAAAAATAATGTACTTGCAACTTTTTATTGGTAACAACTGTAAATATTACCATTGGTAACAAAATAAATACACTTAGAAAGCACTTAAATTCATAACCACCTTCCGAGATGAGTATTATGAATGTTAAACCTCTAAGCAAACACTATATACATATAAGCCTCGTCAAGAACTCCTTACAACTATGTGCCTTTTTAGACATTCTAAGGGAACCTAATCTTTCTGTGGCTTCGTTTTAATATGTCCTACATGTGAAACGATGCGGTGTCATGTAATACTGCTTCATCGAAAATTTTTATGAGATATATGTAATAATACTGTACGAAAATAATAACAGGAAGAAAATGACACCACTTGACATATACTATTGCTTGGCACGTTGGTTAAGTTATTAATTTTTCTCTAAGAGGTCAAAGGTTTCGATTCTGGAAGTTGGAGTAGGTCCGTAATGTCAAATGTGACTTATGTGCAAAATTTGAGGTCAATCGGACGTGATTTGATAGGTTTCGGCATCGATTGTGGAAGTTGAAGTTTCAAAGTTCAATGATTTCGAATTGAGGTGTGATTCGTCGTTTTGATATTGTTATGTGTGTTTTGAGGCCTCGAGTAGGTCCGTGTTATGTTATGGGACTTGTTGGTATATCGGGACGATGTCCCGAGGGGCTCGTGTATGTTTCGGATTTGATTTCGGATCATTCTTCTTCATATTGCTGCTGCTGAAGGCTGCTGATTCTGGTGTGTTCGCATCTGCGGAAGAATGCACGCAGATGCGAGTCGGCAGATGCGGACAGTGGATCGCAGAAGCGAAGGATGGCATGGTTGGAATGGACCGCAGAAGCGGATTTTGTCGCGCACTTGCGGGCACGCAGATGCGAGACTTGGAAGAGCAGATGCGAAGCTCATCGGAGAAGCGGAATATGGTATCCGCAGGTGCGGGTGTTGCTGGACAATGTTATTCTCGCAAAAGCGAGTTGTTTTCCGCAGAAGTGAGGGTCGCAGGTGCGACCTCTTGGCCGCATCTGCGAAAGTGCTGGGCAGAATCCTTTAAATTCAAGGGTTCGACATTTTCACCCATTTTCGGATTTTGGAACTCGGGTTGGGCGATTTTGGAGAGAAAATTTTCCGCACAACTTGGGGTAAGTGTTCTTAACTTCCTTGTGATTATATTCCATGAATCAATCTTCATTTTTGGTGTAAGATTATTGAATCTTCAAGAGAAATAGAAGGAAATTTCTATAATGTCACAAATGAATTTTTCAAGTTTGAATACCGATTTGGAGTCGGATTTGAGTGAAATTAGTATGGTTGAACTTGTAATTGGATGTGTTGTCGTATTTTGTAAGTTTCGTCAGATTTCGAGAAATGGGCCCCACAGGTATTTTTGGGGGCGTAATTTCGGATTTTGTGGATACTATTAGCATTTTGATATGGAATTAATTCCTATAAAATGTGTGGACTGAATCAAATTAATTGTGGTAGATTCGAGCCATTCAGGAGTTGATACGCGCATAATGGAATTTCTGGAGCATTGTTTAGCTTGCTCGACATTGGATTCGGCTTGTTCGATGTAAGTAACTCTTCTAATTTTGGAGTTGAGGGTATGAACCCTGAATATATGTATTTCGTGAATTGTTGGGAGGTGACGCACATGCTAGGTGTCGGGCGTGTGGGCGTGCACTATAGAAATTGTGACATAATTATTACTGTGGAATTTTGTAGTTAAATGATCTTGGCATTTTCTATGCGGTTTTATGAGTTAAAGAAATTGAGCTGAAAAGTATATTAAAAATAATGTTGAGGTTATGTGCCAGTATTATTGGGACCCACAGAGCTCATATTACTGTGAATTATTTGTTTTAAATTAAAAATTCATACTCAGTCATATTCATTTCATTGCATATCATATCTCAGTTTCTGTTGTTATTTATTGATAAATCACATCATCATTTTTGGGCTATTTTTATGACATTGTGAGCCCGAGAGACTGGAGATATTGATGACCGAGTGAGGCCGAGGGCCTGATTGTGAGGATTATTATGTGGATCGGGGCTGCCCGCCTGTAGCATGCTTTATATACTTTATGATTATAGCACGTGAGTTGTTCGTGCAGCACGTGAGTTGTCCGTGCAGATTCTAGCGCTTGGGCTGAAGGAGCCCCTCCGGAGTCTGTACACACACCCAGTGAGCGCAGGTACCTACTGAGTGCGAGTGCCGAGTGCCGAATATTGAGAGCCGAGTGCTGAGTGATTGGGAGGCATGAGTGATTGTGAGGTATGCCCGAGTGGCATGAGTGACTGTGAGGTATGCCCGAGAGGCATGAGTGACTGTGAGGTTTGCCCGAGGGGCTGTATATGAGTGATGTTCTGCCCGAGGGGCTGTTTAGGATTTTATCACTGAGTTGTATCGCATTGGCATGCACATATGATATACAGGCATAGAGAAGTATTTTTCCTCATGCTGTACAACATCACACCATTCATGATCTCACACATTTTATTTTACAGATGAGCATAGTGATGCATTTGTTTTACACGGGTTATCCGGAAGGAAAATGAAACATCTTATTTATTATTGAAAAGATTTTGAGAGAAATTATTGTTTTCAAACTTTTCATATTTTTGGCAATTTCGGCAAACGATATGGGTTTTCACTGATTTATTTGAAAGGAAGAACTATTATTTTTGAAATCATGATTTGGCTGAACATTTTATCTCTCAGTTACTTCTGGTAATATTTGCTTTATATTGTTATGGACTGTTGTGGACTATTGGTTATGGACCCAACCTTGGTAGAAGCTCGTCACTACTTTCAATCTACGGCTAGGTTTGTTACTTACTCAGTACATGGGGTCGGTTGTAGTGATACTACACTTCTGCATATTGCGTGCAGATGTTGGCTGTTGTTGTTACTGTGCTCGATAGTTGCGGGACTTGAAGATGTACCTGCGTTCCTGTTGTAGCTGCCTCTTGTTCAGGATAGCCTTAGATTTATAAAAGCTCTGTTTATGTATTATTCAAACACACTATGTATTTATTTCATTTCCGCTTTGTATACTATTCTTAGAAGCTCATGATTTGTACTACTAGTTCTTGGGGATTGTATAAGATTAAGATCTTTATTCACTTAAATTGCTTTAATTATTATTATTAAAATTGGATAATTGAAAGTTGGTTTACCTAGCGGGTTGAGTTATGTGCCATCACGACTAGTTGGATTTTGGGTCGTGACATCTAGAACTGAACTCATGACCTCGATCTTCTAAATTAATACTCAACAAAACCAATGGACTAAGGCTATTTCTTGCTAATTAATATTATTTATTCTCCGCTCTTCTATAAATATTGATACCACTTATAAAAAATCTACTTATGCCCCTGCTACTACCTCATCAGTATTTGCAATTATGCCTTCGAACCGCTTCGAATTTTTGGCCCTCCAAGTATGGTAGAACATTGCTCTAAAACTGGCTGCCACAACTACTTTCTTGGACTCTGTCCATCGTACTTATTCCGTTTCAATTTATGTAAACCCATTTAACTGGATACGAAGTTTAAGAAAAGAGAGAAGACTTTTGACCTTGTGGTGTAAAATGAGGCACATATATTTTGTGTGGCTATAAATCATTGTATAAAGGTAAATTATTTTCAAATAAGGAAAGAAGTCATTCTTTTTGGCACAGAGTAAAAAAGAAATAGGTTCACATAAATTGAAACAGAGGGAGTATCTTTTTTGTATTTACTAGTGTCTGCTTTATGTCTCCTTCCTATAGTTGTACATTTGTCCATTGTATAATCTCTGATCTAACAATCTTTAACCAGTGGCATTCTACAAACAAATGCTTGTGTGTCTCAACAGTTTGGGCCTCACATAAGCAGCAGTATACATTATCCACATGCACATGCATTTTCAGCAACCTCTTCTTTGTAAGTAGCCTTCCTTGTGCCCACAGCCACATAAAGAACCTGTGCTTTGGTTGTGCAATTGTACTCCATATAAGATCAGCAGTGTGCAATCTATTTAAATCTCCTACCAATACATTATAGCTCCTGGTAATTGAGTATTCTCCTCTATTATTTAATGTATAATGTCCCAGCATATACCTTCCTTGCATTTTATTTTTCAAAGAGTTCAGTTTTTCCAATACCAACTGCAGTCAAATGGGACTTTATGAGTCCAAATATTTGCATCTGATTTTATATATAGACCATGAACCTACTTAACCCATAAAGACTCTTTCTTTTCAATCAGCTTCCAAAGAAGTTTTACATAACAGAAGCAACATTCCAGTATTTACTTCCTTTAACATTCAATCCACCATACTACTTAGAAAAGCATATCTTTTCCCATGGCACCAGTGCTATCTTCTTCCTCTCTTCTGTACTTCCCCATAAGTATTCTCTACATATTTTATCAACTCACTACACCTTGAGGCAATACGAACACTGTCACCAAAAATTAAAGTTATAGATGAGGAAAAAAACTGAATGTATTACTTGGAGTCTGCCTGCATATGAAAGTTGCTTTGAGTATGCTGTTTTGATTCTCTTGGTAATCTTAACCAACAGCTAAAAGCAATCCAGTTTGTTCCATTTCTTGGAAGATAGGGGAAGCTCAAGATACCTAATTGGAAAAGTTCCCTGAGTGAATCCTGTCTTGGCTATCAATTGCTCTATATATACTTGTAACTTTGAAATTACGAATATATTCATCTAAAATCAGTATGACCAACAAATCGCAAATTGGATAACTGTTTAGGATGGATAGACAAGACTATGTAGCGAACTAAAGAACGTTGTCTGTTGAGAAAAAAGAAAAACACGAAGCTTTATTTACACGCATGCTATTTTAATTGTAAGATCAAACATAATTACTATGAATGGTCATATTACATGCCACTAACTTTGATTATGAAAGTACATTCTTTTGAAGTTTTAGTTATTCAACAGATGATGAATAACATTACCCCAAAAGGTCTTATTCTAGCAATAACTCTTACATTACTACATAAAAGATACGACTATAATATTTCTGATTTTATCAACGCTTTCTGGCCGCGGTTTCCCTTTGGCAGTTGAAGAAAACAGCAGCAACTGGAGAGCCAAGCTCATTTTCTTCTGCGTATTTCCGCGTATTGAATCGGTCCCTGGATAATGGTGCGCTCACTGTTTGCCTCTTCTTCTGCTTGAAGAGCAGAAACACAAACCTATGGATTCCAATGTTAGGCATTGGCATTTCATAGCCCACCACTTCTTTTCCTGATGAAGATTTTAGCAAAGAATAATAATTAGCATTAGTAGTTTTATTAAAATTCTCTTTATTAGCAGTAGTAATGTTAGGCAGAAGAAGGCGAGTCTTGGAGCGATGGTAAAGTTGGCTTTATGTGATTCATAGGTTACGGTTTTGAACTGTGAAATCAGCCACTGATTCTTTCATTAGGGTAGACTGCCTACAGAGGCGGATCATGATTTAAACTCTATGAGTTCATCTCTTTTGAAATTTTTAACATTGAACCTATTATATTTTTGAAGTTATGGATACATATCTACTACTTTATGCTAAGCGTCCAAAATTATGAGTGCAATTAAACCCGTCACTAAAATACTGCATGCGCCCATGACTACTTATATTACACCCAATTGGGGTATGGTCCTTTATTTCTGGATCCTGCGTAAAGTGAAATATTTCGTGTATCGGACTACTCTATTTAGAAATGCTAGGCAGAAAAGTAAAAAAGGAATACAATATTATTCCATACCAAACGAGGAATCTGTAGTGCCTGGAATGTCTGTAATTACCCTGTAAATTAGATAGTCAAACGAAGTAAATTATAATTTGATTGATATAAAGGAGTAGAAGTAGTCAAGAAGTCATGAACAGATATCATTAAAATAACAAAAAATTAATACCCTTTAAGTCCACTATGTTAGTAGTAATTTGGCTTACTTCCTTTTTAAATAGAAACAAAAATTATGATTCTATCATTTTTGTAATTTTGAATATCGGTTATATGTTTTATGCTAACGTGTGTCCATGAAGTATTAAGCTAACTCTTGGTTTTAGTGTCACACAACTTTAGTCTTTTTTTTTTCCTTAAAAAAGAAGTTGCAAACCCTCAAGGACAAAAATTGCATTTACAAGAAAAAAAGCTTCGCATTATTATACAAAATTGAAAGTCAAAGGACTAATTTATACGCTAAGCTTAGTAGTGGAAACAATTTATCCAATTTAAAGTCAACTTCATGTTTAAGATTAATTTATATTGTATTGATATAGGGACTCTTTATTTCATTTTGGTGTCGTTGATGGAGTGATGGCCACATACTTCTCGATACTGATTTATATGGAAGTAACACGACGACGATTAAAATCTTTGGTGTGAATCATCAACTTTACAGTGTTTTAAGCTTTCAAAGTTGATGATAGTATGATACATACCAATGTAAGTGCTCCCTAAGATATGGATCGCTAGGACCAGGAACATCAGGGTCAGTCATGATCTATCAAAAAGAAAAAAATAATTTATAACAATATAAGAATAGAAATTATAAGAATAATAAAATAAGAAAGGGAACTTGGAGCAACAGTAAATTTGTCTCTGTATGATCTATAAGTGACGAGTTCGAGCCGTGAAAGTAGTCGCTAATGTTTGCATTAGGGTAGACTGTGGGGTGCGACCCAATTCCTAGGATCCTGTGTGAATGCGGAATGCTTTGTGCATCGCGCTACCCTTTTTTTAAGAACTAGTATTAGTACCCGCCCGATGCGCAAAAATTATTAAAGAATATTAGTCATATCAAAGTATGATAGTAATTTATTTGAGCACATTAGATCATATGTTTCTACAAAATTATAATTATCATCTTATGTCCCCTGTAGTAATAGTTCAATAATTAAATCAAACGACAATCATCAAATAACTTATAAGATAATACTCAAATATCATAATTATATAGGTTGCTACAAATAATTTGAAAATATAAATTAATTTAAAATGAATAAAAATATATTATAATTAAATAAATCCAAAAATTCTTTCAATCTTCAAGTTATTCTTACTTGTAATTCGTGATAAAACTCATAAAGTGGTTCATTTATAAAGATGTATCTATTTAAAAAGTCCCATATGAGATATAGATTCGTCTTGCCTTATATTAATGATAAAAAAATAATGCGATAGATAATTATCTTCGCTTGAATTTAGAAGATATTTTGACTCAGATGGAGTCAGCAAATTATTGAGATGAGTTATGCATATACTTATTTTATGACAAAAAAACATATCTTATTCAGTATACTACTACATCATTTGTTCACTTTATTATTTGCACATGACTTACATATTTTAAAATATTTTTATCATTTTTCTCTTCAGTATTTTTGCTTTTTTCAGAAAATAAAATAACAGTTTATACGTTTATAAATATAGAGATCTAGAACTTTAGACTTAATAATTTTTTAGTTTTCTATTATACTAATAATTATGGGTGAATCCTTTCATGAAAATTTTAGCAATATTTTCAATAATTATTATTGTTGTAATACATAAATTTAATAATCAAATTTTATCTCTATGTTGTTTTCAACAAAATATTTTAATAATAATTTCAATCATTACTAAAAATAGTAACCTATATTAGGGTTTATTTTTAAGAAGTTAGAACTTCATTTAAAATTCATTCATATTCAAATTTAAAAATCTTATCAGTGGTTATGCCACTTGGCATCATATAAATGTTTTACATATATAGATAGATATAGATATAGATATAGCTATCATATTAGTAAGAAACTACTCCCCAATTTGAATTGATAGTTTATTTATTTATTTATTTATTTATTTTATATATAAAATAATTTTAAAACTCCAACTTTTTTGGAGTTTTGTCCTAAAAGTTTACATTTGTCATTTATATGGTGGCTTTGCCGCTCCTTTATTATATATATATAGATAGATAATAAAATATAAGAACAAGAAAACTATTGAAGTAGTGTGAATTAATTACCAGTGTAAAGAAGGATCTCATGTCACCTCCATGAACTTCAACCTTAGGTTTAGAGGTAACAAGGGATGGAAAGAGTTCATGCCCATTATAGACATGCTTACTGGGGTTATAAATAACACACATCTTAACACTTGGAGAGAAATAATCAACAACATCTCCAACCACCCTACTAATCACAAGGGGATCTGTCATTTGAGCCATATAATATAATGAAGAGGAGAAAGAGTGGAAATAGATTGAGTGAAAACTATTAGTAGTAACTCAGTAAATATATAGTTTAGTTTCTTGCTGGATATTTGTATGGAGCATAGAACTGCAAAACCTATATTTATAGTGGTCCAAATGCACCTATCCTATAGCTTCTTTAAATCATTGGAAGTGGGAAATGGATTAAAATATAGTAAGAACATATAGATATAAAGATGGGACCAACAAAAGTTGTGGTTGAATGATATTCTTTCATCTTTAACTAAAGATCTCAAATTCGAATCCTGAGTATGGAGTCATCGTACTCTCAATGTGAGACTTCCTATTATAAATTTGAATTTAATCGAACTCCAATAAATACCGAATATGGGATAAAAAACCAAAAAAAGAAGTCTAAATTAAAGATGGAAACAAAGAAAAGAGAAGAGAGATAAAGGTTATTCTCCTCTGGGCACAACGAGTTAAAGTCATTGTTTAGCTAATTAGCAGCTAGAGAATAGTCTATTTGCTTTGTTTGAGGGGCGAAAAAAAAGGGAGAAAAGAAGTCGTTTAGAGAAAGAGGGATAAAGATGATTTGACAGGCTAATGATATGACCCTAACCACAAATTTATTGCGTAGTGTATGCAATTTGCACCATATTAGTTATATTGAAAAATGTCATATTCCCAGATTAATTTTATATGATGATATTTGATTAGTCACAAACATTTAAGATAAAAAATTTTTAAAAAACTTTTAGTGCGAAAAGAACATTAATAACTAATGTCTTCAATTTGTTATAATTTTTCTGTGACTAAAGAGCATGTCATTAAGAGAGTTAAATTGATTCTTGTTTAAATAGACAAGAAAAGACAAGAGCGTTATATAAAATGAAAATGAAATATTATACTTGTTATTTTCTAGCATGAACGTTTAATAGAACTTGCTTCTCCATCTAAATTCATTGGTCATTGAAATATTAGTAAGAAGAGCCTTCGCATTTTTACTACTATCAAAACAGCTAGCTGATGGAAAAAGATTCAAATGTAAGAAGGAATAATTAAGAAAAGAAAGTGATACTAAAAAATATAGAAATGGGGGAAGAACCAGCTGACTCCTTGCGCATTTACAGGAGTTGCAATATATCTTAATCAGAAAGAAAATTAAAGTAGATGGAATCTATACTTGTTTGGCTATTCTCAAGCTATCAAAGGTTTAAGGCCTTTGGCATTTAAGGTAAGAACAGGTCATGAACTTCCTAGATGTGGTTTTATTTTCATTATATTAGAATCAGGGTTGGAGCTAGAGTATTAGGTATCGGTACGGATGAACTCAATAGTTTTTGTTTAGATTCTGTATTTATATTAGAAAATTTATTAAATATGTATAAATATTTTATTACAAATTCAGTAACTCAGACGAGTTATAGGTTCGATCACAAATTTCATATCGTGAGTCCACTTAGAACCTTACCAATCTAATGTTATGGATCCTCTAGGAGAGCCTATGGTATAAAGGGACTCCACCACAAAGCCCACCAAATTAAAGATGGTGAAAAGGTCATGTCAAGAAAAAGAGAATTTCTGCAGCTTAAACTAGTAAATGAAAGTTGGACATTCCTATTTATAGAAACCTGAGGTTAACTTTTCTCCATATTCCTTTCTGGAAGAGCTGACTTATAATAACTTCTTGTGCTGCTTATTCCCCCCTCCTGTTCCTCTTTTTTCCATCTTTCTTTTGCGCGATCCTATTGTAGCCACCTCTTCTTTACTGCCCTTTTTTTTGTTAATATTCTTTTCCATTTGGGACATGAATCTTGATCATACACTTAGCTCCCATTTGGCTAGATTTTGGCTGTTTTTTTCAAAAATAAATTGAAAACACTGTTTGTTCATGTAATATGATCATTTTTTTTAAATAATAATTCAAATTATGTAGTTTTGGGGTCAAAAAAATTCCTCTCACAAAACTTCAATTTTTTCTCAAATACAACGCATGTCCAAACACAACTTCAATTTCTAAAAATTATTTTTCAACAAAACTTCAAAAACTCTTTTTTCAAGTTTCAACCAAATCTATACCCAAACGCTAACTTAGAATTAGTTACGAAAGTATTATATATTTGCTTTTCTTCCTTATTCTTTGCAGGCACTTCAATATTTACTAGCATTATATATTGGTTAGTCTGCTGAGCTAAGAGGCGAAGTTAATATATAGTAATATAAAGTTTCACGTGAACTCAATAGTTTTTGTTCAAATTTATATATTCAAAAATCTAAATATTTATAAGTACATGATGAAACCTCATTACTGTATAATATTGTATACATTAATTTAAGATCGTTATAGGAACCCCATAAACTTAAAATCCTAGATACGCCCGCAAAACATTTTGCTTTTAACATTAACTAGCTAGATACTCCCCTAGCAACAAGCAATAAACATTTAACAAGAGTAAGCATGTTATTATACTGCACTATCTCATGCAAAATGCTTGAGTATATTACTTGTTGAAGCACATAACCATTATAAGTAACATAGTTATCAGTAGGGTTGGACCTTAGAAAGTAAATCAACTTCACATAATTGAGAATATTTTCGAAACAAAGAAATGGTGGCACCATTAATCACTAAATTCTTTTCTTAAGACGACCCTTCTTCTTCCTTCCAGCTACACAGCAAAATTTTAATTTTTTTTGCTCCACTATTTAGGACAGGATAATAAAATAACGTAACTGAGACTCCTTGTACGTCCACTATATATATTTGATTAGATACTTCATATCAAAGGATTACACACTTACGTCTTAACCAGCACTTGTTCGAATATTCTGCTACGTCTATTGTATTCCATATGGAGAAGAACGGTGAAAAAAATGTCCTAATAAAGGAAGCAATAAAAATGATAAAGAGGCAAATACTCAATGGGTTTCTAGTGAAAATTTTAAAGGAAAAGTGGATGATATATTTGCATCGGATATACAGAAGTATATGACCAACTAAGGCTGGTAAGTGGGCCGGTCCAGGCCGGGACCGGTCCGGGACCGCGGGCCATACGGGCCGGACCGTTAGGCCCGGTTCTATGATTTGGGCCCGCAAGGCCCGGGACCATTTGGTCGGTCCCAACAGCTATATTTTTTTTAAAAAAAAAAATTAAAAAATATAGCCGTTGGGCTGTCAAAAATAGCCGTTGGTTATTTATAAAATAGCCATTTAACCTTCCCCCTCCCCCCAAACTTTTGTACCCCAAACTTTTTATAATTACATTTTTTCGCTATTTTCAACTACAAATACCCTCTCATTCTTTCATTTTTCTTACAAAATCATCAATATATCACAATCTCTCTCTAATTTTCTTCTATAATTGCTACTATTGCCTACTTTATTGTTACTAAGTGTATAATATATAAGCTATATTCGATATATATATAGCTTATATATTATACATTTAGTATATATACTATACTATACTATATATACATCTTATATAAGCTATATAAGATGTATATATAGCTTATCGAATATAGCTTATATATATATATAAACTATATTCTATATAAGATCACAATTCTATAATAAAATTTACAAGACATTGCTTTAGATTTTTTTTTTTAATATCCTTTTGTATCTAATTTCTATTTATTTATTTTTTAAAAAATTCGTTAGGCCACTTAGCCCGCGGGCCGGTCCCTACAAAAAGACCGTTTGGCCCGGAACCGTTTGACCAGTTTAATTTGGGACCGGCCTACTTAACCTGTTCAGGCCCGAGACCGGCCCACTTGCTACCCCTTTTACCAACTATTTTAAAAAGTTTAAGTTGCAAGATATGGTATGATTATATTTAATTGTATGATCGTATTAATTAAAAGTTTAAACAATTAGATAGACATACTTTTTTAGTTGCTTATTATGTCTTCAATAAGACGTGAGCCCAAGACGTTTGTCTTCAACAATCTACATATTTGCTTTCTCTGCTGCCTTGCATTTTCTTTCTAGCAAACTTATATGTGGCAGCCTACTTGTGCATGTGCATCTTTCTGGACATGATTTAGCATTTTTATTATTTATTTTTACCTTCTGCTATATATGTACCAAAATGAGTTGGGCTATCTCATTGTGGGAGTCCATTTCATGTCTTTTTAAACGATTTGAACCTCAAGGATAAAAACTCTTAAAGATTTAGACCTCTTTTATGATTAGCTAATTAAGCTACTTGTCACGATCCAAAATCAACTATAGGTCATGATGGCGCCAAACGCCGCCGCCAGGCAAGCCAACATTGATTTATTAATTTATATACTCATTTTAGTATTTTTGAAATCGTGACTTTTCCTTAATTTAACAGTATATCATAGAATTTACAAAATGAATAAAAATATTAACATGAACCACAATAATAATTAATCCGAAGAAAATCCCCAAAACCTGATGTCACAAGTGCATGAGCATCAATTAGGAAATATGATAAAATACAACTTCTGTCTCGAGCACAAATTAGATAGAGAAATAACTTTGATGGAGACTCTGTATGCTGCGGATTCGTAACATGGAATGCAGCTCACCATAAGTCTCTGCAATAGCCATGCCTCTGTGCCCAAAAGACCACTAGATATTTATGTACATGCACAAAAAGAGTGCAGCAAGTGTAGTATGAGTACGTAAATCAACGCGTACCTAGTAAGTATCAAGTCTAACCTCGAAGAAGTAGTGATGATAGGTCCACATTGACACTTACTAAAGGTCCAATAGAGCAATATAATAAAAGCATGAGCATATATGAATTTCACAACAATAACGGGGTAAATCTGTAAGGTTTATAATCTTCCAATTATTTCTTTTAAAGCATAAGTTTCTTGAGCTTGTATAATACATTAATATCTTAGAACAATACCAAGTGTCAATACCAATTAAGTAAGAAATACCATAAAATACCGGGTTTCAGTGAAAGGTTTATCTTGTGAATATTCGAACTACTAGCGATAACGCACGATTCTGCCGAGGTCGTTCGGCCCGATCCGGAATAACGTGTACACTGCCGAGGGACGTGCGGCACGATCCATAGATGCATCTATACTGCTGAGGCGTTCGGTCCGCTCCACAAGAAAGGAGGATATTTTATG